CAAATAAACACCCCCTTTCCCCTCCCCTATAGAATCCATATTCTCCACACTGGAGAGGCCTCACCCACTTTCACCCTACACAGTGTTTTCTTTCTTTGAAATCACCCCCCCCCCTTTCATGGTAAAACATCTATAGTACAGTCTACTCATTTAAAAATATACAAATAGTACATCCCAACATATCAAATAATTTGAGGGCATACAACCTTACCACCTTTATATATCTATTTTCCCCAAATTGGTGCACCTCTTTGTGATAGTTGTCCACATGCATGTTGTTTTTTTTCAAGTGATGACAATGAACCAACAGTTTTGTAACAACTACCGGGTAGGTTCACACTGCAAACTGCACCCTGGGCTGAGGACACGCTGCTCTGATTATGCCAGAAAAGGGAAACCACAGTGGCCTGAAACAGACCCCATGGTCAGAAAGAACCCACGCTCGTGCACACACACAACCTGCAGAGACAACCCACAGGTACCCCAGAAGACAGTCTGCCCGCACCCTCGGCATCGGCATCCTGGCATCGCCTGGACAAGTCAGGCGGGCAGAGGGAAGGAGTGAATCTGAGCCAGATGGGTGGCAGATGCACAGGCAGAAATCTCTCTCACACTTGCTGCCCACAGCACCCCCCTCGTACACCAGCCCCCACACGCACACACAATACATACTAGCACACATTATATCACACACACACCTCAGCACCACACACACTGCTCCACACTCCTTACACAGCCCCACCTACATCATGTCACACACCACACCACACAGACCACCCATACCATTCCCAGACATAGCACACACATACCATGCCATGGCTTGGTGATTTTGAAAAGCTGATCTTGCAGCCAGCAGCTCCATACATAAGCACGATGCCACCGGGGCTCCTACATCTATGCTCACCCTCAAAGACCTATTGTGCTGTGTTTGAGGGGATCTCTTGGATTGCATGCGTTCATTCGAACTGTACACGGGGCGTTGTGTGCGTGCATTTGCAGTTGACCTAAGCAGCAGTGTGCTATTTCTTATCTTCTGGGTCTTCCTTCTTTCACTTTTAAGGTCCAGGCAACTGCTTTGTGTACACTGAATCCCTTGCTTAACTTTTGCAAAAGCCATGGAGGTGTATGTACACCACAGACGCCCAGGCAGAGTCAGAACGAGGCTCTGTCACCCGGGCGATGGCATCGTATTCTTACAGCAGCCCTAAGAGATAGGCGTTATTACGGATGAGGAACCTGAGGTAGAGTCCAGTACTTGCCCAAAGTCCCACAGCTGAAGTGGTGAGTGGTCGCGGCTGACCCCAGGTTTGAGGGGCCCAAGGAGCACGCTCATACAAACCTGAAGGCGAGGCTCGCTCTCAGGTGCGGGGCCAGAGTCTGAAGAGCACCTAGTCCCGATTGCTCACCTCCCCAGTACCAAGCACCTCCCTTCACTCAATGTCACTTCCTGTGTAAAATGAGGAGCTTGCCCCAAAGGAGAACATGTCCAGTGCTCTTCCTAGATGCCCCACCTGTTGATTAAATACCCTTTCACTAATGGGAAAAGCACCGGAAAAGTCCGTCAGGGTTTGTTTCTTTGCAGCAAGGAACCTCACCTCAGACAGGAATGCCCTTTGGCATATCCCCTGACTGCTTGGGAGGCCCCTCGCTCAGGGACAGGCCTATGGATTCCCAGGAAAACAGAACTGCTGCCTCCGCCTCCCGCCCGCCTCTCTTGAACTTTGCACTCACCAAGATGAAATATTAACTGGGCTAATGTTTCTCGTCCAAGGGCAACCTCTGCAGAAGCAGGCATGGCTAGGCCCCGGAGCAGAGTCTGTGGCCATTCGGAGTTACCCACCCAGTCATTCCCTAAGTCAGGAGAGCTTGCAGGGTGCTGGGGAAGGGCCAACCCTTCTGATGGAGACACTGAGGCCAGGGCAGAAAGAACTAGCCCAGACAGGGTGGTGGGACTCACAGGTGGGCCCAGCAGGCTTTCTGCATGCTTAACTGCCTGTCACCCGGATGTCCGCACAAGGAAGCAGCATAGGAAAGCGTGGGTTGCCCACAGGAAATGGCTGGCGCTCTATTTCCTCCTATGTGGAAAATGAGAGGGCTTGAACTCGGGCCTCTACAGGTGCCATGATTTGAGAGAGAGAGCTCCCAGAAGGCTTAGGGTCCATGCGAGGTCCCTCCCTTCCATTCAGTCTTCAAAGGTCTCTTAGGTGAGGAGGACACAGCCATTGAAGAGAGTGCTAGTCTGGCTCTGAGACTTATTTCCCAAGGGCCCACCACCTCCCTCCAGCAGGGACTTGCACAGAAGAGCAGTTTTAACTCTCTCTCTAGAGTCATTGCTCTGCACAGTCAGGCTGAGGCAATGGGTTCTCTGTGAGGTGAAGGGACCAGGCCAGGTCAGTCACTGATGGCATATGGCTTTCTCTTAGTTTATCTGGCTGCCTCACAGGACTTGGATTTGCTTGGTGTGGTGTTCAGGTTAAAATGAGCATTTTACCACAAGATGGGGGTTGCTCAGCCTTACCCACCAGGGCACACACTTCCCCTTGCTTCCCGGGGCTGTCAATTCCTGAGGTGAGGGCCCTGCATCTTTCCTTGGGGCATTCCCAGAAGCAGTAGCAGCACTGAACTGCAAAGGTGCTCAGCAGATGCTTGCCCAGTGAACTCAGCTCCCTCAGGGGCAACCCCTCTCCCTAGTGGCATCCTAGTCATGGGTCCACGTGGTCGGGCCCACTCTTATAGCACTTGATCGTTTGCAAAGCTTTTCGGCATTGGATTCCGGTAACCGTTCTAGCAGTCGGAGAGGAAACGTTTCTTGTCGAGCCACAGCTGCGTGGTTCAGTAAGGAACCTTGGCAGAGATCTCTAGAGATGGTGTCCTTTTGCGCCTTCCACTCTGAGGCAGTGGCCAGAATGTGGACTGAGGCCTGACAAACACGCGGGGTTCAAATCCAGCCTTGTCACTGAGGACTGTTAGTCAGCAGCGCAGCCTCTCCATGTTCCTCTTGGGGTCTTCAAGGATCGTTATGAAGATTACATCCGAGGGCAGTGCGCGAACCATGTGGATCGGAGCACCTACCACCATCACCATTACTCCCGACGAGATTGCCTGGCGGTGTCCTTCTCCAAGGGCAGATGGGAAGAAACATAAGGCTCCGGTGACCGGTTACAGTAGCAGGACCAGCCAGGAATGTGAAGCAGGTTGCTACATTCCAGGTGGGGGCTCAGGCCAGGAATTGGAGAGAGGGGAGGGTTGCCGGTTCCAGGAGCTGAAGCCGGAGGCTTGCAGGGACGTCATTCTGTGAGGAAGGCAAGGGTCTCTGCGGGCTCTGGGCTGACTTTGTGGATTCCGCCACACCTCACTGGGCTCAGAGGGTTTACTGATAACTTCTTTCTCACCACGGGGTTTCCTGCTGTTAAAAACAAACAAAGACTTCAGTTAGGGGCCCAGTGGGGGGAGGTGACAGAAGATAAGCATTGGGAGCCTGTGGCCGACTCCAGAGCAGCGAATGCGCCTGAGGGGTGGGGTTTATGGGCACTTGTCCCTAAATTCTGCAGGTGGGAAGAAAAGTCCTAGAGCTCCCCAACACCCCCAGTATTTCCTAGCTTGCCACCTAGGCTAAATTTGAATAATCAATTTCCAGCGGACCTCCGCTTAAGCCCACTCCCCTCAGTGCACAGTTTTGAAAACAAAGTATGGTCTCTTATTTATTGGGTGTCCAATTTCGGATCGTTCTGCATCATCAGATGCCCCAACGTCGTGTGTAATTTCCCCCAAGGTGAATTCTAAAACATCTCCATTCATTCTTTCAAGAACTCCCCGGAGGGAATGGAGGTCCACTTTCGTCCTGGCGCCAGCTAGAGTGCAGGGAGTCGCTGGGGTCCCCAAACCTCCACTTCTAAAAGTCCACCCCCCCCACCCCCCTCCCAGCCCCAACTCCCGCCTCTGCAGTCTCGGGACTCTCAGCGGGTGTGATCTCACCGATGAGAGAATATAAACAGCCCCAGGGTGGCCGGCGCCGGCCAAGACCTCTGACCAGGGTCAGCGCGAACGCTCCTGAGGCCAAGTGCGCGCCCCCCGGGCCTGGGTCCTCTGGGGGTGCACCGCTAGCGGTGGGCCAGACCGCGCCAACTTGCTTCCAGCGTCACCCTCACGGGCCCGCAACTCCAACGGTTCCCAGGGCGGGCGCCGCCGGGGGTCCCGGGGGCCGCCCCTTTCCCAC